AATGGAGACAATTATCCTACTTGGCGTCGATTGGTAACATTCGCCTTGAATGCCAAAAATAAATTAGGATTCGTCCTCGGCACCATCAAACGTCCAACTACATACAGGGCAGCTGCACTTCTTTGGGATCGTGTTGCGACATGATAATGTCGTCGTTACTTCATTTCATTGATCGATCTCTCACCGGAAGCCTCCTTTATTGTGAAATGCCCAATGACCTATGGGTCGAACTGGAAACCAGATTTCAGCAAAGCAACAAGACCAAAATTTTCACCATTAAACGTGACCTTGCCAATCTTCACCAAGGACATCAATCAATCACTAATTACTATGGAAAATTGAAAGAGGTATGGGATGAATTAGCCTCCCTCCAACCGGTCAATACATATACGTGCGGGGCAGCAAAGGCCATATCTAAAACGCAAGATTCGGACAAAGTTTATCAATTTCTCTTAGGAGTAAATGATAGTTTTCAGCACATCCGGTCACAAATTCTAGCTACTGATCCATTACCTTCAATTGGGCGTTGCTATGCTATTCTTCATCAGGAAGAAACCCAACGCCTGGTTCAATTGTCTTCATCGCAGTTGGATGCTTCAGCCCTAATTGCTCGTTCAAGGCTGCCAACGAACTCGCCTCATCCCCACCGTCCCCGTCCCGTTGGAATACCACACCATGCCGTTGGAATACCACTATTTGAAGCATGTGGAAACCGGGTCACCAACGCAACAAATGTTTTGAAATTATTGGGTACCCGAAATGGTGGGCGTCCAAGAACAAACGACACACCACAGTGCCCTCGTCGCCGGCTACTCATCAGGCGTCTAGTGCCACTGCGCCACCAACCGTGAGTGAAACTCCCAGCCTTACCATCGATCAATATAACCAATTGATGGAACTGCTGAGGAACCCAGTCCTCTCCTTCACAGGTTCTGGCTCTGTCTCCTACTTTGGCCCCTCTTTTGATCGTAAATGTTGGATAATAGACAGTGGTGCCACACACCACATTACTAATTTACCCCTAAATAATTTTCAAGATAATGCTAGCCCAATTTTTTTTTGCCTTCCCACATGATCACAGTCCCCCGTCTCTAGCACGGGTGATATTACTTTATCTCCTCGTCTTTCCCTTTCTAATATTTTATCGATTCCTGAATTTAAATTTAATTTGTTAGCAATCAGCTAACTAATAAAACCCCTCAATTGTGTTGTCTCATTTTTTCCCACCTTTTGCATATTTCGGGACCTAACCACGATGATGCTGATTGGAACGGGCAATGAGCGTAACATACTTTATTACTTCAAGCCGGCTCCAGCAATCGCTTTCCAATCATCCAATCAGATTTCCTTTGACACATGGCATCAACGTCTTGGTCACCCCTCCTTAGATAATATTCCTAATTTTATTTATCGTCCTAAAATTATTGAACATTATGATGCATGTAATCGTGGTAAACACACTCGATTGCATTTTCATTTAGTTGTGAATAAAAGTTTGATGCCCTTTGAACGCATATTTTGTGATATTTTGGGGGGGGGGGGGTTATCATACTGCCTCTCTCTCGGGTGCGCATTATTTCTTAACTGTAGTTGACGAATACACTTGAGTCACATGGGTATGTTTAATGCGTTTTAAATCTAAAACTTTATCTTGTCTACGGGCATTTTTTGCCATGATTCACACTCAATTCATTTTCAAGATACACCATATACGGATTGATAATGGTCAAGAATTCCTTGCTCGCACCACACAAGATTTTTTTTCTAAACAAGGCACCCTTCACGAACGTACTTGTGTCGAGACACCTCAACAGAATGGTGTTGCTGAGCCAAAACATCGCCATATTTTAAATGTGGCTCGATGTCTCTGTTTTCAAGCACACCTTCCCCTTACCTTTTAAGGAGAATATGTGCTCACCGTTACCTAACTTATTAACCGCATCCCGTCTTCTTCTCTACACAATATTTCTCCTTTTGAATGCCTTTACCAAAAGGTACCTCGCTATGACCATTTGCGTGTCGTTGGTTGTCTTTGCTATACTCAAACTACTTCTGTTCAGCGCAATAAATTTCAACCTCGTGCCCACCCTTGTGTTTTCTTAGGATACCCCTCCACTCATAGCGCATATCGGGTTTATGACTTAGAATATGAACGGATTATCATCTCTAGGGACATCACTTTCCACGAACACATCTTCCCCTTCAAACTACTACCTCAATCTACTACCTCTCCTCTCGTCTTACCACTTCCTGTTGATGAAACCCCTACTCAACCACCAATTCCCTCCCCTCCTCCAGAACCTGTTCAAGTATCCCATCCCACTCGCCCTTGACGCACTATAAACTGTCCTGCTCATATTGCTCCTACCTTACCTTTATCCTCATCTGTTACGCTATGCACTACTTCAGTCACATCTTCAGGTACTACTCATCCTATTTCCAATTTATTTCGTATCATAATTTTTCTGCAGATCATTTTACATTTCTGACAGCTCTATAACAATCCTCCGATCCCACTCGATACTCTCAAGCTGTTAAAGATCCCCATTGGCGTGATGCCATGCAAGCTGAGATTCGAGCACTTGAGTCCAATAATACTTGGGTTCTCACACACCTTCCTCCTGGTAAGAAACCCATCGACTGTAAGTAAGTCTACAAAACTAAACTACATGCAGATGGTTCCATTAAACGGTATAAGGCTCGGTTGGTAGCTAAGGGTTACACTCAGGTTGAGGGCCTTGATTATCATGACACTTGTGCTCCTATTGCTAAACTTGTTACTGTCCGTTGTGTTTTGGCTATCGTAGCTGCTCGTAATTGGCACATCCATCAACTTGATGTGAATAATGCATTTCTTCATGGCGATTCACAGGAGGAGGTCTACATGACACTCTCTCCGGGATATGGTCGAGAGAGGGAAACTCGTGTTTATCGTCTCCTTAAATCTCTTTACGGTCTTAAGCAAGCTTCTCGTAATTGGTACTCAAAGCTGTCTTCTGTATTATTGTCTGATAGATTTTCTCAATCTACAGCTGATCACTCACTTTTTACTCGGACTATTGGCTCTTCTTTTACTGTTGTTCTGGTGTATGTTGATGACATTTTGGTTGCAGGAAATGATCTTTCTGCTATCACTACCCTCAAAAAATCGCTTGATGACAGGTTCAAAATTAAGGATTTGGGTACCATGAAATACTTCCTTGGGCTTGAAATTGCCCGGTCACGGCTTGGTATTTTCATTAATCAGCGAAAATACACCCTCGACGTACTTGCAGATTCTGGTAATTTGGGTTCACGGCCTGCATCTTTTCCTATGGATTAGAATTTGAAGCTTACTCTTGATGATGACACTTTGCTTTTTGATCCCAGTTCTTATCGATGATTAGTGGGTCGGCTTCTGTATCTCACTATTACTCGTCCAGACATCTCATTCTCTGTTCATATGTTGAGCCAATTCATGCAAAGCCTAAATCTTAACATGGTATCAGAGCCCAGTAAGTTTCAATGAGCTATTCAATCCGATTAAGTCTAAAAAATGAGCACACAAATTTCAAGATTGATCTGCTCAAAAAAATCCACCATCTTGCGGGGGCACGTTAAGGGAATAAATCCCACATCGGTTAAATACCAAAATATTGACTAATTTAAATAGATCTTAGGTCACTCCTCTTAATAAGATTGACCTTATTAAGATGGACCTCAAATCTTATCATATGATGTATCGTCATAATTTTTAGCTATCCGATCTCCTTGACGGTAATTTTGAGTTTTTATCTTCTATTGCGGTAACTCGACTCATCCATAGATCTTCTTACTGTATTTTATCTTCATATCGCTCTTTTTTCCTTTCTAAATTATTATCATATTTGAAATCTGAAAATGATGCTACCCACTTATTCATCACTCATTCTTGAAAAGTAAAATTCTAAGACAAGCATGAAACCCAGACAAAGGCAAAATACTTGAAGAAATCTAGAAATCATTCATTACCATTTTGTATCACTTATAGGGGCAGCATAGTCATTGTCTTGTAATATTGTAAAAACGTCTTCCATACCGTTTGTCCTTATTAAATCTAAACCCTCTTTTAATTGTCTCTTGTTTTTTATATTCATCCGATGCCATGATACAATGGAGGGTATTTAATGAAGAAAATATATTTGTGCAAGGTTAGAAGGCAAACTCACTCATCTTCGATTTTGGAGTTGCGTAATAAAAAATTTTTGAAAGGCAAAGTGATGCTTAATTATGACAAAAATAAACTCACGGAATCTTATTACTGTAAAATGATGAAAAACAATAAATTAACCCTTTCATTTATAAGGGTTTACATAAAAACCTAATTTAAACAAGTTAAAATTGAAAAGAATTTAATATAAACTAAATGACAAAAATAGCACTAAAACTTTAAAAATAGTGTTAGAGTCCTAAACGAACTCGGATGGACAAAATTCATTGTATTCACGGCGAGATGGTGCATTCTACTCGTGTTTCTTGTACTCTTTTTGTAATAATATTATGAATTCAAGCCGAAGTTTGAATGCTCTCACTGCACTATTACCTTTTTTTTTTTTTTTTTTTTTTTTTTTTTTTTCACATTTCAAGCCAATTATTCTTCAATCCATTCTACAATCTGTTTTATATCAACATTTCAAGCATATGGTAATCATAAAGAAGAAGAACATCTAATTCAACCTTTTATGGCTCTTTGTAATTATTTTCATATAGTTTGTGCACCAACTCCACGCCCTTGTTTGGGCTCCATTTTAACAAAAAATTCAGGGAAAATGAGTATTAGGATACTGATTTCTTTTTTGGAAAATAAAACATCTAGAAACAATGGGAGGACCGACAGTCTCCTTCATGGAAGTTGGAAGGTTAATTACAAAAAGCAGTTAAGATGAAACTCCAAATTTTAACATTGTATCAAAGTCCCTTAAGCTCAAACGAGCAATTTGATTCGATTAAAAAAAAATGAAAAAATGAAAAAATAAATTGCCACCATCTTACGGGGATAACATTGCTTTTTCAATCCAATGGCAGCACCACGCTGGACATACTGATTTACAAGACAAATTCTAAATACACAAAAAATTATTCACAAGTTGTATTGAATCTTTGTTCGACTGCATCTACAAAAAAATATGCACTAGTTGTACTTACAATGTTTGATTGACTAATTAGAGATCTTGCCTATCGTTCCCTAACAGCCCACAAAACGAATACTAATTTACAATTAACAACTCAAAACTACACATATATGCAGCTAGGATTACGAAAGAATTTCCCCCTCTTCACCTTGCAGAATTGCCTCCACTTCATCTTCTTCCATGTAATCATCCTTTATGTATAACCCAAGCTGTTCCAGAGAATTTCTCAAGTTACCAATGCTGATGCCTCCAATTATTGCTTCAAACTCCATAATATCTCGATTCTCGTTGAAATAGACTGTTTTTCCCATCTAAATTAGAGTGAAACAAACGTCAGTAAATTTAAATTTCTTTAGTATCAACGAGGCAAATCATAACAGGAATCACACAGGATCAAGGAATACAAAATTGAATTTAAAAAGGGACCTTTTCTAATGCAATTCTGGCTGCTTTTCTTTCCCTCTCACGTTGCATCTTCAACTCTGTCTCTACCCTCATTCGGGAGGCTGCTACAGCAGTTTTACTTTCAGCTGCAATCCTAGTCTTCTCTGCAGAAGTTCAAACATCCAGTGTAAACAAAATATTGCCAACTGAAGATAAATACTAATGAAATACTTGTACCGTAAAAGAACAGAATGAACGTAGGATATTTAAATGAAAATTAGTGACACATCTTTCATTCACAAGCCAGAAAAGTTTCACAGTTCACACGAGTCTATATAATTAAACTATATTTTCAGCCACATGCCTTGTGTCACCTACTGACCTTCAAGAAAAAGAATTTCAATACAAGACAAGAAGATATACAGATGCCCAAAAAGGCAAATATTACACTAAAAGTTCCATAGGAAGGCAACATTTTAACACAAAAATATGACAGTACATCATAATAATGGATCAAGGATATGCTCAGATCACCTTCATACTGCTGCCTTTCCAGTCTTTCCCTTTCTTTTTGCCTACTCACAGGATTAATCTTCTTGCCCTGAACAGAAATCAAAGAGACAGATATTAATAAGTCCACAGAATGAAGAGTTCAACCAACATAGTATGTATGCCAAATTTCCGCACGCAATAAGAATTCATTACATGATCCAGGAGAGCATGATGTCTAGCTCTGGAGATAGTATCTGCGAAGTGGCTTTTCAGCATGGCAGCACGCGAAACCTTCTTTGGTGACATATTAACAGGTGAAGTCCATCCTAAAACAAAGGCATATATAAATCAAATCTCCATATTTCCAAGGCTCTGATATATGCATGCTTGGGTGTGCCAGTGGGAGTAAAAGGTTAATCCCAAAATACATACGGACACTGAGCTGTGGTCATCCACAAGGAAACTAAAAAATGCATTTCCATGTCTAGATAATAGTTACCTTTATCAATGGCAGCAGTTGTGGCCGGGGGAGAGACTCTTTGCTGACAATTGTCTTCATTGGGAACACATTCATGCCCTAAAATTCATTGACAATGGCATGTCAAATCTCAAATAATCAAAAAGCAAGCTACACAATTGTAAACATATAGTAACAGCTATTGCTCTCACCATATGAATCCAGCTGTAATCCTCTTGTTTTGAGATGTCAAAGGATACTTAACCCCACCATCCTGATGTAAATAGACACGGTGAAAATCAACAAAAATTACCACCATACATTTAGAAAAGAAATTATTTGGTGAAACGAGAAAAGGCTAAAACTTACAAGTTTAGAATCACCAGAGTGATCATGATCAGATAATCTTTTTGAAGAAAAATCTGAAACAAGATGCAATATACTCCAAATTAGTTGATAGGAACATGGATGCAACATACTAACAAGTCATAAGAATTTAACTTACCAGTGAAAGATGGCTTAGCAGAACATCTGAGGCTGCATTGGCACGTCAGATTGCCACATGCAGCACATTTGACTGCAGGGAAATCAAATGGTTGTTTTCTATTGGAAGTAGCAAATGCAATATGATTTCCATTATCTGCATAAAAGATACATGGCCAATCAGTCATGTAAAGAACCAGAAAGCACAAACTTATTCTATCACGTCTCTGACCTTTATGAAAAGTTTTCACCAACGTGGAGCACCCACTTTGTGCTATTCTTGCAGGCTTCACCTGTACAGGAAAACATACAGAATCAACAATTTATGTGAAGAAAGGTCTAGTAACCACTAACAAGGAGCAACAAACTAAGGATAGAGCTAAGGAAGCAAGTGCATGACAACATTATGGCAATTAGAAAACAGTACTGTGAAAAATTGATAAAGGGAGAAATCATCACACCAATAAACACAACCACATTGTCTACACCATTAAATTTACTCACCTTTCCTTCTGTTATATCCAAAGAAACCTTTATTGCTCTTTCCAGCTCAAGTGAAGTTCCTTCGTCGATCGCGTTCAATTTTGTCTTCCTTAAGTTCCATCTCCTATTGAAGAGATCATTTAATTCCTTCGCGAAGTTATAAATGTAGTTCCCGGGAGGATTGTACGCCATTGCATTGGAAAAAGTCAGCCTCACATCCCTAGCAAATTCCTCAGCATCAGAGTATCTATTTTCCTCTAGTTTACACTTTATTTTTCCCAAATCCATTGGTTCGGAGATTATTGAAAAATAATCCAGAATCTTCAGCTTCACAGGATCAATTGGTTGATTGAAAGCAAATCCGTGAGGGTGCCCCATCAACGATCTCAAAATTTTACTATACTGCTCCTTGAAACTTTGTACTGTGCTCTGCTTTTTCTCCCTATGACACTCAAGGATCACTCCGGGTTTACGCTTGTTAGAGTTGCCTGACTTGGAATATTTCACTGGAATAGATTTTCCATTCGCATTAACTCCATCTCTACATTCATTATTCACTATCATCATCATGTTACCACTTGACTTGTCTTCTAATTCACGCCGTATTCCTTTTGAAGTGATTTTGAGCTTTATGCTCCTCTGCACAGTGTTATCGACAGCAGCCATAGCAGAGAACCTGAAGTGGGGAGCAAATTAGATTTCAAGATTGATTCTCAGCAACCAGAACTGTTGGACTGAACAACACACTGCACATTATTTAGAAGCAGATAAGGAATATTATTGTGGGCCCAACAATGAGCAAACAAATGTTTTCTTTTTTACTTCCTACCATGAGAATTGGAAGTAGTTAATTTCACATAATATGTCCCACACAATGTATTACTTTGGTCGCAGACCCATATTCACAAACAGAAATAATTGAAGTAGTGAATTAAATAAATAAAAGAAACTACAAAGAAACTAAATTTTTACATAATAAGGTAAACATTTCAAAATCAAGAATAATTTTTTTTATCTAAAATACATAACACAGAACGTAAAAAAAATCAAAAATCAACTTCATTTTTTACATAGGTAGGAGACGTCAAAATATCAATAAGCATTAAAAAAATACATATCAAAGAACGAGAAAGGGAAAAAAAATCAATGGAAATAAAACATACAAAATCCATACATTCCATAAATACAATTAGAAAAGAAAAGAAAAGAAAAAAATAGCGCCAAAAATAACCAACAATCCACTAACGAAATCTATAGTAAGCAACAACATAAACAATAATCTACAGGGGCGATTATAATTAGGATTTAGGGTTTAGGCAAGGGGAAAATCATAAGCAACCACATCAAAAATTCAAGAGAGACATTGTCAAGAAAAATCGCTGTTGGGTAAGAAGAATACCGTCATGAAACAACATTTTTTTGAAAATAAAATAAAATAAAACAATAATATATGTATATATACACACATATACATACTGTGAATCAAATCAAATTATTCACAACAATCGATTTGAATAAAATTGAGTACAAATAACAATCAACATAAAAAGCCCGTTTTTACACAAACACATACTAACCTTTGAAGATGATCGTCTATCGGAAATCCCTTCCCCCAATTCTATTCAACCCACTAACAATTTGATTTCAACAACTTTAGGAAATTGTATCAAGAAATATTTCGAATTGAAGTTTGGAAAACTATTGCTGCTGTAAGGTAAAATTAGGAATTGGGGGCTTGCTTTTGAATTTATAGTAGCCGTTGGCTCAGTCCTCAAAACATTTGGATGTGATGGGCCGTATGGCTCTTACGGTATTGTGTTATGTCGTTTTTGCCCTCCATCTATTGTGATGCATCGTTTTGGACCTCAATTATTGGGATGGGTCATTTTAGAAATCAAACTATTGAGATAGGTAGTCTTGACCCTTAAACTAAGGAGAAACGTCGTTTCTGCCCTTCAGCCATTGAGATATATCCTTTTGAACCTCCAACTAATGGTAAGGGCCATATTGATTATCCACCTGGGGTTGTTTTGATCTTATACCTACAGGGATGGCTCGTTTTTGTCATCCACGTAGCGGGATGGGACATTACAGTCCTTCACTTATTAAGATGAGTCAGTTTGGTGCTCTAGTTATTGATTATCATCTTTTTCATCCTCTAACTATTGAGATGCATTATTTTGCTACTCCAACTATTGAATTCGGTAGTTTAGGTAATCCATCTATTACGATGCATAATTTTTGTCCTCCAATACTAAAATGAATTGTTTTAGTCCTTCAACAATTTTGAAGTATTGTTCTCATTGTCCAACTATTGATATTCTTAGTTTTAGGAAATGCTCGGTAGTGATCCTGAAAATTATTTTTTGACCTTTAAAGAAAAAAGTGGATCTTATTTGTGAGTGAATAAGTCAAAAATGATTACTAGAATAATAAAATAATGGTTGAAAATTTAATTTTTTTAGATGAAAAAATACTACCAAACGAGGACTATCCTCCAACAATGAATTCCATTGTTTTGACAATCCATTTATTGAGATGTGTTGTTATGGTCCTCCATCTATTGGATGCGTTCTATTCACCTCCAGATACTGAGATACATCGTTTAGGTCTTTCAAATATTGAGACATATCATCTAGGTCTTCCAAACTATTTATATTTTGACTATCCATCTATTGAGTTTCTTAGTTTTAATCTCCAACTAAGAATTTCGACATTTGGTCTATCTAATTATTAAAATTCGTTGTTTTGTTCCTCCATCTAATGAGATACGTTGTTTTAGTACTCCAACTAGTTAAATTAGTTATTTTGGTCCTATGACTATTGGAATGTGTAGGTTTGGTCCTCAAACTATTGAACTACATAGTTTAAATCCTCAACCAATTGAAATGTGTTGTTTTGCTCCTTCATCTATTATGGTCATTGTTTTGGTCCTTCATATACTTTGACCCTCCAATTATTGAGATCGTCATTATTGTCCTCCATCTATCCGGATGGGTCTTTTTGATCCTACACCTATGGGGATGGCATTTTAGTCCTCCACCTATTGGGATGGGTCGTTATGATCCTCGAGCTATTTAAATAAGTTGTTTGGTGCTACAATTATCATCTACATTCTTTTTAGTTCCCCCAACTATTGAGATGCATTGTTTTAGTCCTCCAATTATTTTGAAGCATCGTTTTCAGTTATCCTCTATTGAGATCATGGTTTTGGTCCTCCAACTATTGAATTCCATCATTTTGAAAATCCAATTATTGAGAAGCATTGTTTTGGTCTCCATCCATTGGGATATCTCGTTTGTGTTCTTTGACTATTTATATTCCATATTTGGTCCATAGTAATAAATTAAAGGTTGGAGATAAAAATTCGACAAAAAAGTTAGAGAAAACAATTACTACAATGAACAAAAATTGAGGAGTTTAGCCAAAATTAAAATGTAATATCAATGAAAAATTGTGGTGACAACATAGCCATCCAAAATTTATTTATAATATTAGTTAGTAATTTAAAAGTTATTCCGAGTTAAGAGAGGAAATCATTATTTAAATGTATTATGTACATTAGCACAACCATAATAAAATTATTAAAAAGTTTGTTTTCCATTAAAATAAAAAATATGACATTTATCCATCACATCAAGTCACTATATTTGAATTTAGTTCTCTTGTGTGGGCTTGTAACATCTATTATTTTCATTCTCATTTTTATATAAATGAGAAACAAATGGGGCCTTAGTAGAATGATGCGCTGTAAAATAATGATAATTGCATGTTATTAATTGAAGAAAAATAGGAAATTTTGAGGCCCTTTCTTTTTCATTTTTGTTAAAGTGTCAATAAATCTCATTTTTAAAGTTTTATAATCAAATTGCAATTTCTTTCGCTTCTAAATTGGAGAAAATGATATTTCTCTAAACATAAATTTTTGAAGAAATGAGAAATAACCGCCAAACTAATTCTAAGTAGACAAACAACTTTTATACAGATGGGGTTATTAGCTCGCGACATTTGAGTGTATACGATCAAAATATTTAACTCATTGTACTTTAATTTATGGATTACAAATTTACATGTGAATTAATATTGCACTTAGATGTTTGAAAATGGGTTTATCATACTCTCAATTTCACATTATCAAAATATAGAAAAAGGACATCAATGGAAGAATTCATGAAAAGAGAACGTGAAGTCACATTGGATCATTTAATGGAGGAATTAAACTAGTCGTACAAAATGGACGTGCATTTAGCAAAATTGTTAATTGTAGAACTTGCAATTCTCCATTAAATCACGAATTTAAATTTGTGGCGACTGTGAGTGGTAACAGAAGAGGACAATAAAGTACAAAATCATCTCAAAAGGAATATAACATCAATCATACGAGAAATCACGTAAAAAACATCACAGTGATAATAAAAAAATGAATGCATAAATGGAGTTAATGCAAATAAACAATTTGATGAATAGCAAAAAATTTAATTAGACTGCAATAAAATTTGAAACTTGGTTTTCCATTGCTGCTAAATGACTTGAATTTTTTTCTTTTTCAAATTTTTAAATTTTTTATTTTTTGAACTTCTCATATGTGTTAGATGTTGTTGATACAAGATAGATAAACTGATTTATCTTAATTGACTTATCATGTTTATATTAAGTTGTTGATTTTTAGTTGATTAGTCTTTTATTATTCATAATTTACACGTATATACAACAAATATTATATGTCATTATCATTAGACAAAAGAATAAAATGAAACAAAGCAAATTGAGGTAACAAAGGCATGTGCCAAATTAATTCTAAGTAGACAAACAACTTTTATACGAAAAGGGTTATGAGCTCGGGACATGTGAGTGTATAGCGTCAGGATATTTAACTCTTTGTACTTTAATTTTTGGTCTACGAATTTACATGTGAATTATTGTTGCACTTAGAAGTTTGAAAATGGGTGTTATCATACTCAATATCACATTCTCAAAATATAGAAAAAAAGGCATCAATGAAAGAATTCATGAAAAGGGAACGTGAACGTGAAGTTACATTGGATCATTTAATGGAGGAATTAATCCAGTAATACAAAATGGATGTACATACATCAAAAATGTTAATTGTAGAACTTACAATTCTCCTTAAATCACGAATTTAAATTTGTGGCAACTGTTGGTAACACAAGAGGATCATAAAGTACAAAATCACCTCAAAAGGAATATAGCATAAATCACAAGAGAAATCACGTGAAAAACCTCACAATGATAATAAAAAATGAATGAACAGATCGAGTTAGTGCAAATAAAAAATCTAATTTAGTCAAATTTTCCTAGTCAAGTAACTCCAAGAAGCGTAAGGTCGAGTGATCCTTGAGCATCAAAGGGGATAAAAGAAGCATAGGATGGATTGAAGTTTCAAGCAGCAATGTAGTAGCATTTTGAGATCATTGATGGGAACCGTCACGGATCTTCTCTAAATTAGCCAATTGATCTACTGCTGATTCCAATAACTATTGAACTAATGAACTTAGGAACGATAAAGCGTAAACTAGAGGACAATAAATACTTTGATGCAGAGGAATTTGCTAATGATGTTAGGTTCATTTTGTCAATGCGATACACAACAATCCTCCTAGGAACTATGCAAAGGAATTGAATGATGATTTCAAGAGATGGAAATTACAGCAGACAAAATTGAAGTGCACGGTAGGAATCTCGAACGGTTATGCAATGTAGAGGAAGTGGAAAGAATGGCCAAGATACAAACCCATTATAAAAAAGAAAGGCCAAAATGCAAAACAATCTTGCCTTAATAAAGCTTTACGGCCACAACAGGCCAGTCTTTTAAGAGCAAAAGCAAAATTTGAGGAAAAAAGCTTTTGAAAATATCAAGCAGAAAGATAGTTGAAGCTTTAAGGTCGGTGTTCGAAAAGTTTTGTATGGCCAGATTGAGAGAAGAAAAACTTGATTCTTATATTGACATTATCGACAATTAAACTTTTCCCAAGCTAGACAGAAAGAGCAATAAAGATTTCTTCGGATGAAATAAAAAGGAAAGGTGATAAATTCAATGTCGCAGACAATTCAGCTGTATGGTATGATTCTTTCTTCTTTGAGATAGTCTGCATTATTTTGAAGCTGAAGATTCCTTGGTATTTTGATGTGAACCAACTGCGTCTTGAGCAACATCTACTGATCATCAAAAAATAAAAAAAGTAAAATACAAGTTAAGAATAATGCTATCGATCACTATTGGTGCTAAAACACTAGTTTAATTTATTTTAGTTTAGTTGGCATTAAAGGGTAAGTCCAATTAAAGTTAACTATATGAACGAATATATAATCTATTTAACTGGACTTATCGTGTTTTAAAGCCTCTAGTACCGAATGGCGTTTCTACTCACATGATAATAAAAGCCCAGTAAGGCAAAAATCGTACGTAAAGTTTCAAAGGTTCATAGGAAGGAAAATTTTTTTAACACAAAAATATGACAATACATCATAATGTTAAATCAAGGATATGCTTAGATCACCTTCATGCTCCTGCCTTTCCAGTCTTCCCTTTTCTTTGTGCCCATTGATAGGATTAATCTTCTCGTCCTGAACAAAAATCAACAGAACAGAGATATTAGTAAGTCCACAAATCGAAGAGAGCTCAACCAACCTAGTATCTATTCCGAAATTTCTGCAAGCCATAAAAATTCATTAAATGA